ATTGGAGGTACATCTCTATTTTTACAGCTGCTTATTTTATTTTCAATATCATTCCTGATTGTGCCTTTATTCAAGAAAACTTGTCAGAATTATACAACATGATGTTTGGCTAATGTAAAAACAACAACAACAACAAAAAAAACAGCTCAATTCCATCAATTTCCTAGATCTATTCCTGAGTCTAGAACAAAGCCTCGGACTGGTCTTCTATAAGTTTGCCTTCTGGGGAACAGAACATTTCAAGGACACTTGGCTCCAAAATCTCACACATTTTTGATTTTAATAATAGTGTTTTGTTTTGAAAAATACAATATACAAATATACTGTGTTACTGTCCTCAAACCCTGTTTTTGAATCTTAAACACTAAACATTGCATGGCAGTGTCATTTATTCAGTTTTGATCAGATCATCTTTTTGAAAATACCATATGATATTCTACTTTCCTCATAAATGTTAGATACCAGTGTTTATCTCTCAGAACAGAGCCATTCCTCACATCCACACAACATCTGCCATGTACTGTAAGCACGAGGTCACAGTTAATACATGCTAATTTTTGCTCATTAAATTCTTCCAATCTCTCGCCAAGGTTCTTTTTTGGGGCCTTTCTTTGATCTTGATTTTTTTCCAGGTTAACCATGTTGTAGTCCATGCATAATGTTGCACCTAGAGCTGTCAATTTAGCCGTCACCAAAAGTGCATGAATAAGTAAAAAGCAGGCAAAGGCAAAGCACACTGATCCATGAGCATCATTAAGTCCACATCCACTCACTAACAACGGCGCTGATGGAAATCTAGTTTTTTATTTTTTTACTGCTAACTACATGACCTTATATCCCTATTAATAACAAGGATGCCGCGTTTGTCTCACATGAGGTTCCCTAAAGTGATATGAATCGATTGTTTCTGCAACATTCACTGAGCTGAGCAGACCTCAGCTGGTGCCTTTGTGAAGATGGCCTGTGTCTCGCTGTGAGCTTAAGAACCTCCTCAATGTTTTATTCATACCTGTTTGACCTTAAAGATGGAAATGCAAATGTGTGTCAAGAACAAGAGGGGGATCCTTGGACTTTTCAAATGTCAGAGATCCTGCTACAATTAAGACATATTCATTACAAGAACCCACAGCGCCCCCCCCACACACACACACAGCTGAGATGTAAAACACCTACAATTAACATTTGTGATCATTCATTGGTTCCTTCAGCTGCTGCACGTGCTCACTACAACGTGAAAGAAATCAGCAATAAAGTCAACTGCACTTAGAAGTTTACACCGGACGAGTCAACTTTTTTAAGATTTGAGGTCAAATTATACAATGTGATAAAATATCATTAAAAAAGTTGTTTTTTTTAAATAGTGCACCATCTTTATGGCTTATTAGCTTTATATTTTGGGATAGCACTATATCTAACTTTCCTAAAAAAGATCACATCATTCCGTGGTGTTGTTTTCAGGCAAGTTTCCCCTGGCATCACAGCTCTTTCTAGTTCTTTCTAGTTTTAATTATATACTGGCACAACGTTTACTGCAAAGTGTTTTAGTGAGACATTTGTAAAACACCAGTCTGTATTATTGACTTTGGCCTTTTGGAAATAAAATTCACAGGTTACAGCTCATTTAATTTCCTTTACAGGGTGTAGATTTGAGAAATATACTGTATTTCAGTTTCTCGGTTTCCTGTTTGCAATGGATGTTTAAGCTTTTTAGATAAGGCTAATATTTAAAAAATATATATGCATATAAAGTATATCTTCTGTAATAAATAGATAAGAATAAACAAAATACAAGGCTTTGAGGAAATAATAAAAAACAACAACAAAACAAACAATGCAATCTTTATGCGCTATTTAGTTGTCATGCTGTTTTATCGTCAGACATTGCCATCTGTCGACCAGGTCAAAAACTGCTCCTCACAACTTTTCGTTGTAGAAAAAAATGTATGAATGAAATTGTTTTTAGTCGCAAATAAATGAGACATTTCTTGGAACTTTAAATTAGAAGTTTGGGTCACTGTATTACAATAGGAGGAAACTGGTCTGACAGACAACATCTACAGTGTATATGAATGTAAATATTTAGTCTCCCTTTGTTTCCATTTGTGCCACTCAACATCAAACTAAATAATAATGTGCTGAGACTCAGCTCCTGTTTTCCTGTTGAATAACTGTGTGACCAAAATTAAATTAAACTTATCACATATAGCTGCGGAAATCGTTACAGTACTTTATTTTTGGCACCACATTATTTGAAAAATCATCTTTAATGGATTTAATAAAGACTATATACTGTACTTTTCAATGGACAATTTTACTGCCTTTATTGAAGGAGCCTACTTAAAACACTTCAAGTAAATCAATACATCCTTCAAACTCTGTAGTGCTCTGTTTTGTTGCTGTGTTTGAAACACAGCAACAGCAACAAAACAGAACACTACAGAGTTTACAGACAAAAACAAACGTTTCCCACCTATCTAAGCTACCTCTGTATCAGCTACAGGGTCGACAGTTCATTTTATTAACAAACAATATACTTTAATAAATAAATAAATAAATAATATCTTGGAATTCTTAGACAGAGGCGGCTTAGCCCGTGGTCAATCATAAATCATCTATTTTACATTGTGACAAAAAGTGAAACAATCAACTGAAATAAGTTAAACTTTGTGGAAACTCGCTGCCCAATTCTTTATTTTTAGGGCATTAACAGCAATTTCGCAGCCTACAAAAGCCGTTAATGCGACGTTTTGGTTAAAGCAAAATTGTTCGATACTTCCGATGTCCGACGGAACTAATTTTGTTTATTTTATATTGTATATACTACCGTTTATACTACCGTTTTCGTGTGCTTTCATTTATTAACATAAAAGCAACTGTCCTCGGTACCATCTCCCTTTTAATCCAACAGATGGTGGTAATGTACCTCTCGTTTAGTTGATAGAGTCGACGTAGAAGAAGTGTGTTCAAGAGCAGCAGTAGAAGAAGAGCAAGCCGCTTTGTACACGGAAGCAGGAATTAGCTGTCATAGCCACAGCAGCTTGTTCTTCTTTAACCTACCACTCGGATTTGTCAGCACGTTCTCTACCGTGACCACAAAGACAAAAGGGAACGTATAGATATTAGTTGCTTTAGCCAGAGTGTCCTTGGATAAAATGAAGGCGTTTTTTCTGCTGTTGGCGGGTTTTATGTTCTGTTACCTTGTACCAGGTTAGTTTACACTTTCTTTTTGTATACTTTTACGTCACTATGACAAACACCGTATTATACCCTAGTGTATTTATCAGCATCACAGATTTACCTTGACAACAAAACGAATGGCCGTGGTGATTTTTAAAACGTGTAAACGGTGCTGAAACTGGTGCTTTTTCTCACTCGTTATACTAAAATGTGTCATCTGTTGGTCGACGGCGCTGACGTAAAGGAAGGATTAAAGTTGACTTTAGGGAGGTGCAGCGACAGCCACGCTGTACAAAACACGTATCTCTGTCAACAAGCCAGTCACTTCACTGTCTGGATAGTTCTGTTGTTTTACCTTCTAAAGACACCGCACCACTTTAGGAGACCCAGTGTGAAATATTTATAATGGTTCATCTAAAAGCAGAACTTACTTTTACTTCCTCATTAATAATATATTTTTTAAATCACGCACGCACATTAAAGAAGGACAGAGTGAAGGTCACCAAGAGAATAAGAAATATAAATTTGTTTGTATAAGTTTGTTTGTTTTATGTCCATACCAAATTACAGGTGAGTGACATATGAAAGGGACAAATACAGTTTAAGGGTGACCATCTCTGTCTTTTAGCCTACATAAGGAAATATGAGCTTCTTTGGCTGTAAGAGAAAAATGGTGGCAGGAGTACAAATGCTAATATTTGTTATGTTCTTGGATGTGGATGATTAGCAACACATGTTGTTAAGGCAGGTAAAGCAAACCAAAAAGGACTGATTATAGTAGATTATATATAAGTTTCACAAATCAACAAGGTAGGTTTGGTGTCTGATTTGCCTGTTTGTGGATTGGTCTGTTTGTGTATCTTTGCTTCACCTAAATATGGGACAAAATTTATTTTGTCCACTAACTGTTTACTTGTAACACAGTTGTAGCTGTCATGTTTTCATGTTGTTCTAGCTCTCTTCTGGAAAGCATTTTTTCTGTTCTCAACAAATTCCTTTTTTGACATTTATCATGTTAAGCTAATAAAATCATTTAATTTAATCAGATGATATGAGAAGTAATAACAACAGAGGAGTTACACTGATGCTCATTAGGGTTGCTTTGGAAATACATAACTCAATTAGGTGTATGTTGAGGTCTAATTAGCCCAGCTAGCAGCAGTGCTTCATTAGCTTTCCTCATGTTATTGTGTTTGTGTGTTTCTCTGTTGATTATCATATATTGTTTGTTCTTTCCTCAAGGGGCACCAACAGGTGAAGTCACCCAACCGCCAAATCATCATCAAAGTGCTTATGTGACAGGAAGTCAAAGTAAGACCAACAGTCAGAAAACACGAGTTGGAACGGGGGCCAATAACACACTAGACACCCCCAATGTACCAACCAGTACAGAAGTCAGAAATAAGAAAAAAACTGGAGAAGGCACAACTGAGAATAAAACAGAAGAAGGTACAGTTATGAAAAAAACTGAAGAAGGTACAGGTGATAAACAACCTGTAGAAGGCACAACTGAGAATAAAACAAAAGAAGGCACAACTGAGAATAAAACTGAAGAAGGTACAGGTGATAAACAACCTGGAGAAGGCACAACTGAGAATAAAACAGAAGAAGGTACAGTTAAGAAAAAACCTGAAGAAGGTACAGGTGATAAACAACCTGGAGAAGGCACAACTGAGAATAAAACAGAAGAAGGTACAGCTGAAAATAAAACAGAAGAAGGTATAGCTGAGAATAAAACAGAAGAAGGTACAGCTGAAAAACAACCTGAAGAAGGTACAGCTGAGAAACGACCTGGAGAAGGTGGAAATAAAGAAACGGAACAAGTTAATGTGCCTGAAATGACGGAGGAAGCAGAGAGCAGTCATTTCTTTGCCTACCTTGTCTGTGCAGCAGCGCTGGTCTCTGTGCTTTACATCACTTACCACAACAAACGCAAGGTATGCAATAGCCACAAATGTATGTGTCAACTGTGTGTACTTTCCTACTGCAAATTACAAAGTAGAGTTTTGGGAAACTAAAAGAAAACATATTCAGATGTTTCCACAGCACTTTTACTTTTATTATTTAAGTTAGTACATTCTAAACTGTAATCTTAAGACTCAAAACAGCAGTGCATGGGCAATGTTCCAAAAACAATAACAGATACTGCTTAAAGGGCCCATCAACCAGTGATTAAAATATAACCAATGTCTTAAATTTTTTTGTCAGATTATTGCATTTGTTCTGGAAGGAAAGAGAGCTAAATCTACACGTCACCATCGATCTGCGGAATACCAGAAGTTAGAACAGCAGGTAGATGAGCTGATATAAAGACAAGCACAAACTTATCTTTAGAAAATTTTCTTCCTACATTTCTCATGAATTCATTATTTTCTTCTTTTTTTCCAGATGTGATAGGAAATGGACCAACGACATCCTTGTTCCCTGATTGCACTGTGGGATTTGTGTGAAGTGGGTGTTAGATCTAATTTACGGTGTACTCCTGGTCCAATCCAGTCTGTTAAACAGACACATCTGACCATTTTTTTATGCTTATTGCATGACTATGCACATGACATTGTTGCCTTACTAGGGGGCTTGGCAGAGTGCAAAGAAGGTAAAAAAAAAGATAAGCATGTTGTTTTTGCACTTTTGCATCACTATTCTAGTTTTAGGAAATTCTGTAGTTGGGCACTGAGGACATTCTGTAGCAGTTTAAAAAATGAAAACAAATAGCAGTTTGGGTTTCAGCCTTGTTCATGCAGTGCATTAGTGAGTGCAATTTGCAGTTGAATAAGCCATTTGACTGTGTTAATTATTGGAAGCTTCAAGTTCTGCAATTTTAAAGTAGATTTTGTGGCACAGAAGATTTTTCTTCTTACAATCCAACAGTTTTGTCCACATGAATGTAATAGTGTCATTTATTTTCAGAACGAGGAAAGGATCAACATGTCCTCACAGTAAAATAAAAAGTCCTGTTGTGTGATCTAATACACAGGTACAGTGGGGATTATTTGAAGCTTCACTGCCTGCAGCCTCAGCTTTACTCTCCGCTAGAAAGAGCAGAGTTGATCTCATCTCATTCTTCACTGCAGGACCATCAACAGGCTGAGTTTTTATTGAAAAATGACTGATCGTATTGAAGTTTGTTTTTTTTCACCCCCAAAGAGAAAATCTGGCAAACAGCTGCACTGTCTTCAACTGTAGAAAAATATGACTGTGGGGAAATAGGTTGACCACTAATTCATTATATTTAAACTTCCTCTCGAGTAAATGTGTGTTGATGTGTGATGCTGAATTGTGCCAAATAGTGAACGATCTATTGTGATTCCTGGGTTTTGCCTGTTCCCTAAATTAATCCTATATTTTTTCTAGGCCGTGATCTGTGTAAAGTCTTTTCCCTGGAGAGAAAAACAGCGTAAATCTGTTGTTTCTTGGCAGAGTCTTAATCTGATTTTTTAAAGGATCTATATTTTTGAGAAAATTATTCGTTTTGAACACATTGTTCTTTTCTCACTTTCAATATGTACCAGAAGGAGATAGGATTTGTGGACAATTTAAGATGTGCATTTCATTTTGTCAGAATTTCCTCTCCATAAACAATAAGATGTCCTTAAAGTTTTCACCACTGAAGAAATGATGAATGATTCCAAAATAAAAGCTTCTTTTGTATACTGTGGCCACTGTTAACATGAATAACTACCTTCACCCTCACAGCTTCACTACTGGCAGACAATGGAACAGTGAGCACAAACATAGGAACATATGCTTCAAATTTGGAGGATAAAGGACAACTGTTTGTGTTTGTTTTTTTAAACAAATACATCTTTATTGAGTCTGTCAGTTTTAACATTTTTAAAGCTTTACATAACAATAAACCCCATATCAGACAGTTACAAACAGCTACAGTCTGAACTGCATGATTGAGACTGTTTACTGCCACTCACTATGATAAATCCTAGTTTTAGAAAATAATCTTGATTTCCATATAAACTGATTAGGTTTATGTTTTACATTAGTGTCATCACAATGATTTTACCATAACTAACACCGTAGCCATTGGATACCAATGATCAAGCAGATTATCCCTATTAATGGTAATAATAATAATAATCATTTTGGCAGTGGTTCCGGTTCTCAGCCCTCACAGAGCCATCATGTTCCTGGCCTCCTCTTCATAAATGTCCGGTATTTCTCCTATGGACGAGGACACCATGTGGACAGAGTTACAGCCCCGCAGTTCCTTCTCAAAGCAGACCAACTGCTTCCAGAAGCCAGGGTTGGGTCTCACCACGGGTCTGGAGCTCTTCACCCAGGTGTGGGCCTCCAGCAGGGTGACGCCTTGGTGCTTCATCAGATAAGCCATGCACAGGGCGGCGGAGCGGCTCACACCGGCGTTACAGTGCACCAGTGTCCGGCCTCCGCTCTCGGCATGCTGCTGGATCTTTTTAGCCACCGGCAGGAAGAGGTCGTTGAGAGGAGACAGAGGAGAGTCAGACAGCTGGATACGGAGGTGCTCTATCTCAGCAGCTGGTGCAGGAGGACAGCAGCTCAGGCCTTCAGTAACGCTGATGACACAGGTGATTTGACACCTGGTCAGCTGAGCTGAATCACCGGCCGCTCTGCCGTTACTGATGTAAAGATGTTCGGTGACCTGGCACAGGCCCGACAGACCTGAGTACCGAGGCTGATTCATAAACGGCGACAAATTCACCCCGAAGACACGGTGGCGTTCCTCAAACAGAAGAGACTTCAACGTACGGCAAGCCGCTAGCACCAAACATGTCTGTTTACCGAAGATTGTCGCCCTCTACTGGAGATATTACACGAGCATTGGAAGTTAAAACTGTTCTGGGACAAAATGAAGAAAAACATTATGTATATGTATATATAATGACATTTAAGTCGCAACACTTTATGTATTAACTTTCTTCTTGGTTCTGGTATAACAAATACATGTATGATTAGTGTTATTCAGTATTAGTGTTATAGTATCAGTTGTGGCCACAGCTTCTTCATTTCTTCCCACCAAGATTGAAACTACAGTGGATTCTGTGAGAGGCTGTGAGTGGTCTGTGGAACCAGAAGAGAAGCAACTTGTGAATACATTTGCACTGATGATGTGGGAGAATCTCAAGCCCTGTTTCAGTGCTACCTTTGTATTGGGCCACAGCTTCAGCTTTAACTCAACAAAACTCACTACAACTGGCAGCAAACTCCCATATAAACTAAGCACAACAAGCTAAATGTTTACCATTATTATTTATCATCTAATTATCACTTGATCAAGTGATTTATTGTGTTTTATTTAATATTTTTAATAATGAAATAGAATTTCATAGACTCTTCAGGCAGACACAGCAGTTGTCATGGTAACTGACTGGATTGGGTAGCACTTCAGATGTTAAAAACATTAAAGGTGACCACCATCAAAGACAAGTGTACAACAAAGGACAAACTGAGCTGCAAAGGTGCAGGATATAGGAGGTGAATATGACTGAGCAAAAAGGAGTGAGGATTTGTCCATAACTGGAAAAAAACAAATATAAACTACACAAAAATAAAGCAATGAAGTAAAATAAAACATCCAAATTAAATATAGCGTAAGACAATAATGCAGCTATTGTGGTACATTTGGTAAGAATAAAAATTAAAGAGGTGAAACTCACCACATTTGCCAAGTTTGGATAGGTGGAGGACAGGATGGAGAACAGTACATACATCAGTGCAGCATCTCACTCAGTTGAACATCCTGTGGGTAACTGGAACAAGATGCAGACATGGGGTGTTACGATGGAAGAAGACGAGGAGTGTCTCAAAGATGGTCATATACTGTTGGGTGAATTACCTACAGCAAAGTGGAATAAAGTGAAGGGTGGCAGTATTGAGATGGAGAGTCTCAAAGAAGACTATCCTCCATCAGACCTTGATGAAGATTCCTCAGAAGAAGAGTTAAATGGGAGGCAGCCATGGGATAGCAGCATGGAGGAGGAGCTGGAGACTGTCAAAGTCAGACAGGCAACATTAGAACCAGCTGAGAGTCCTCAAATAAAGTGGATGCAGAGCAGGTGTATGAAGGTCAAAGAAGAGCTGGGGTGTCGTAAGGAAACCTGTGGGCAGCAGTGCCAAGCTATGCAGCAAAGTCCCGTAGTTAAACTGACTCTCCACAAAGAACTGACCAGCCTGAAGCAGCAGAACTCTGATCTAATTCAGAAGCTGAGAAAAAAGAAAGACGAATCGAGGCATCTGCACAATGTCACGGGCAGACTGTGCACCGCTGTTGATAAAGAAACTGACATGCTTCAGTTTCTGTCCAAAGAGATGGAGTCCATCAGCTGTGAGCTACAGCAGGAGCACACCTGGAGACTGCAGCTAAGTGATGAGCTGCAGAAGTACAAAAATACCCTTCTAGTCAAAATTAGGACAGAGAGATCCCCCAATAGAACAGACAGGAGTGAGGTAGAAGTTCTGTTAAAAGACAAAGATCATCTTACAACTGNNNNAAAGAGTGTAACTGGAAACTCCAGCTAAACAATGAATTGCAGAAATTCACAAACGTCTCTTTAAATAAATATCAGGTGGCGACGTCCACTGAGGTAACAAAGGCACACTGTCAGATGTTGGACAGTATCCCAGATGAAGCTTTCAGAATTTCCTCCACACTCATGACTGAGTTGAAAAAGACTGAGTCCTGTTCAAAACAGAAGGCTCCCCCACTGAGTGACAACTTGAAGGATTTTCTGTCCATGGCTGAGACAGGGGGTCTCCATCAGATGTTTGAGAACCTCCGAAATGAGGTCACAAAGCTTTCTGATATTCTGGAGGAAGAGATGAAGAAGAAGAAAGAAAGTTTCACAGCAATGCCCAGAAATTATATAACACATCAAAATGTTAACTATCTACATCATGAGGAAAAACTGGCCTGTGACGTGACACAAGATGAAAGTGATGAAGAGGAGAACCTCACAATGACCAACTTGTTGCTGAATCAGCAGCTCTACGTTCAGAATGGCATCATAGCAAACCTCGAGGCAGAAAGGGTCAAGCTGTCCCACAGGTTGGAGACGGAGGTGAAAAAGAAAAATTCTCTGTCAAAACTGAGGGAGTCAGATGTCGTTCAGGTACAGCAGGAGGAGGACTGGAGAGTGGACCTGATCTACCAGCTGGAGAAGCAGGTGTCTGACCATCAACAGGAACTTGAGGCCCTGCATCAATCTGTATCTGAGACACAGGGTCTACTTCGAGAACTCCAGGCCCTAAAGCTGTCTAACTCAAAGATACGCACCAGACTCCACCTAGAGGAAGAACTTTGCCATCACTTTCAAACTCTGTCCCTGAGGCTGACTGCCAACCTGCAGTTGGAGAAAAGAAAGAGCCGCTCTCGCACTGATGTGCTGCAGAAGGAGCAGTCCTCTCCAGAGCAGCGGTGTCATGGATGTCAGAGGGAAAAAGAAAGAAAAGTAGTTGGAGCTGACTCCAGGGATAAATGTGCCAAGCGAACATGTGACTTCTTCACGCGGAGAAGGAACAAGACCAAAAGGCAAACAGAGTCCTCTCTGTGACTGACTGTCTGACTAACATACAAATACTGTCCTTCCAAATGTATATTTGTTAAAGGCATTCTGGGTTAATTTAAAAGATGAACCTTGTGAGAGAACATTGATTACTGCTGTCTGTGGTCTGTCTGCGGAAAATAGTATTTTCTGAACAGTACACTGATCTATGATCACAAATAAACTCTTCAACTACTGATTATATACATATATACATATATATATATCCAAAACTATCCGAATTATATATATACACAGACTATACATGTCGAACACGTCAGCTCCTCCTTTACAGCCATGGCTCCTAACCCCTAACCACAGTCCCTAATAGACAGCAGTGTCTCCCTCTTTTAAATACACATTCCTTTTGTATTACCTACATAGAATGAATGGTAGAATTGTCATGCAACAAGGTTTTGTTTTATTGCTATATCTGTTATTTTAATACTTCAGGGCCACAGTGGTGCAGTGGTAGGAGCCCCAGTCTGACATAAGATGGTTCTGGGTTTGATACCACCTAGTTCCCAAATCGCACACAGATAAATCATGAGGCCACAGGTGACCCTTCTCCATTCCTGTGTTTATTATGTGTTATTGCAACATACTGCACTTGTATTGATATGGGCTTTATAAATAAAGTTGGATTGGAATGGATATACCTTTCCTTTAAATGTGTGTGCGTGCGTAAAAATATATATGTGTAAAAAAAGTGTCGAAATTCACACACTAAAGAAATCGTTACCTATAGACTGAATTCAAAATAATAATGAACAATGTTTACTCGTAGGCTGTAAAACAAACAATCTCTTGTTTATTTTTTTCATTTAAGTCAATTTCCTCGGTGGTGGGTGTTTCATGGTGCTGCTGGTGGCATTGTTTCCTGCAGGCACTCTTGTGGAAACAGATGGTGGATGGCGGCGGCAGCGGCAGCTGGAGGACGGCGACCACTCACCCACGCCCTCATTAATTTGTTCAGTTGTCCATTCATGCAGCAACGTGAAGCAGCTGAAGGGGTCGCTGCTCAGTTTAAAATCTCACAGCCGTCTCCTTTGTTCGGAGCTTTCCGTGTCTTCCACTCCGTGCTGTTTTCCATGGACCAGACTCCAGTGTCTCTCCGACAGATGCTGCTCTCCGCCTCGCAGCGACGGAGGACGACATCGTGTTTCTGTGTGTTATCCCACTGCAAATGGTCAATCTGCTCAACATTGATCACGTAAAGGCAGGACTCTACTCTTTGGTGGTTAACGCAAAGAAGAGGAGGAGAAAATGAAAAGGACGTGGTTGTTTTTTTTTACTACTGCAAGACAGGTGCGTGATCCAACTGGAAATTACCATTAGCATTGTTTCTACTCTGATGATCGCATTTTCATCGTAGCAGAATAAACAGAACTAGTCCTCCTCGGCCTTTGGAAACAGTGGCTTTTGGTCTAATTGGTTAACAAATAAATAAATGTATATAAAACACATCATTTCTAAATATAAGGTCTGCTCCCAGGATAAACAGAATGCAGCCATGGACTTCAGTGAATTGCAGTGATTATAGCTATAAGTGCAGCGGTGCTCAGATGGGGGTCTGGCCCTTCACCCGCCATCATGGATGTAATGATAAAACAATAAACTATCACAGTACTGTAAAAGCTCAGAAACTAGTGAGTACACATTGCAGTCATATGTAGTATTTCAAACACTGTATTCATTTCAAGTATCCTGCCCTCAGCTGGTATTTGCTCTGTGGCTTTTTTCTTTGCAACTGATTAGAACAGCTTTGTGGCCTGTAGGTAGCAGCAGTGAAACAAATAAACAAACAAACAAACTAATCAGAGTCAAGGAAAGCTGGTTGCAGAATTGTCTTAGCCTAAATATCTGAGGAGATTAAGAACAGTAGGGGACACACCTAGGATTTTTTTCCTTAATACAAAAACATAGGATATAATGTATTGTTTTTGTACATGGGTGCAGCTCCAAAAAACAAAGCTGTTTGTGACTATTTATATTATAGTACACTGCTCAAAAAAATAAAGGGAACAGACAACACAATGTAACTCCAAGTCAACCACACTTCTATGAAATCGAACTGTCCACTTAGGAAGCAACACTTGACAATCAATTTCACATGCTGCTGTGCAAATGGAATAGAAAACAGGTGGAAATTATAGGCAATTGTCAAGACACACCCAATAAAGGAGTGGTTCTGCAGGAGGTGACCACAGACCACTTCTCAGTTCCGATGCTTTCTAGCTGATGTTTTGGTCACTTTTGAATGCTGGCGGTGCTTTCACTCTCGTGGTAGAATGAGACGGAGTCTGCAACCCACACAAGTGGCTCAGGTAGTGCAGCTCGTCCAGGATGGCACATCAATGCAAGCTGTGGCAAGAAGGTTTGCTGTGTCTGTCAGCGTAGTGTCTAGAGCATGGAGGCGCTACCAGGAGACAGGCCAGTACATCAGGAGACGTGGAGGAGGCCGTAGTAGGGCAACAACCCAGCAGCAGGACCACTACCTCCGCCTTTGTGCAAGGAGGAACAGCAGAAGCACTGCCAGAGCCCTGCAAAATGAGCTCCCGCAGTCCACAAATGTGCATGTGTCTGCTCAAACAGTCAGAAACAGACTCCATGAAGGTGGTATGAGGGCCCGACGTCCACAGGTGGGGGTTGTGCTTACAGCCCAACACCGTGCAGGACGTTTGGCATTTGTCAGAGAACACCAAGATTGGCAAATTTGCCACTAGTGCCCTGTGCTCTTTACAGATGAAAGCAGGTTCACACTGAGCACATGTGACAGACGTGACAGAGTCTGGAGACGCCGTGGAGAACGCTCTGCTGCCTGCAACATCCCCCAGCATGACCGGTTTGGAAGTGGGTCAGTAATGGCGTGGGGTGGCATTTCTTTGGAGGGCCCCACAGTCCTCCATGTCCTCGCCAGAGGTAGCCTGACTGCCATTAGGTACCGAGATGACATCCTCAGACCCCTTGTGTACGATATGCTGGTGCGGTTGGCTCTGGGTGCAACACAATGCTAGACCTCGTGTGGCTGGAGTGTGTCAGCAGTTCCTGCAACACAAAGGCATTGATGTTATGGACTGGCCCGCTCGTTCCCTGGACCTGAATCCAATATAGAACATCTGGGACATCATGTCTTGCTCCATCCACCAAAGCCAAGTCGACCACAGAGTGTCCAGGAGTTGGCGGATGCTTTAGTCCAGGTCTGGGAGGAGATCCCTCAGGAGAACATCTGCCGCCTCATCAGGAGCATGCCCAGGCGTTGTAGGGAGGTCATACAGGCACGCGGAGGCCACACACACTACTGAGCCTCATTTTGACTTGTTTAAAGGACATTACATCAAAGTTGGATCAGCCTGTAGTGTGGTTTTCCACTTTAATTTTGAGTATAACTCTAAATCAAGACCTCCATGGGTTGATACATTTGATTTTCATTGATATTTTTTGTTTGATTTTGTTGTCAGCACATTCAACTATGGAAAGAACAAAGTATTTATTAAAAATATTTCATTCATTCAGATCTACAACGTGTTACTTTAGTGTTCCCTTTATTTTTTGAGCAGTGTATATTAGTGGTTGACTGCATGTCTGATAAGTCTTCAAATTTGAGTGCACTATTAATAACATTAAAATGTTATAGTAATAAGCTATTTATCATTTTAAACAAAATGTAAACCTGGAGCAGTGTGCAGCACTTTCCTGCACCTGATGGATTGTGTTTTGTGTGTGTTTTTAACACACCTCAGCCTTTGTGGGGCTGGGATGCAAACCAGCTATGGTCCAGTCACAGGACTGAATCATTAACCAATGGCTGCCCAAAGCCATGAAGTTATTGTACAATAATATGGAGACACTTATTTCATGTATGATTATATACTTACAGGTAACCCTCTGTGTCACTGTTCATGTACAGTGCGGCTAATCTGTCACTTTTCTGGAGATTTTGGGAAAGTCCAGCTGGGAGTCAACAGCAACACAGGTTAAGTATTCTGACTGAATTGCATCTTTTACTATGAAAAATTTGTTTTCAAAGGCACACAGTATTATCTGGAGAATTTACAGATTAGAGAAAAATGTTAGTATTAGGGGCAGTGGTGGCTTAGTGGTTAAGGAAGCAGACTTGGGTCCAGAAGACTTCAAGTTTGAGTCCTGAGGTGCTTTGAGCATGTCACTGTCCCCACACACTGCTCCCAGGGTGCTCAAAGCTGTCCACTGTTCACTTTGGTGACGGGTTAAAAGCAGAGGTCACATTTGGTTGTGAATGCAGTGGTGAGCTGTGACACAATGACAAGGAGATCACTTTCCACTTTTTCCCAAGGGTTCAAAGTTGTTTAATATATTTTTAATTTAAAAGCTGTAGCAATGAAACAGAATGACAGGCATTGTCTGGAGGGCTGCAGAGAACAGTTGTGTTGCGTCCCTCTCTCCTGTTCTTCTGTGTCTTGTGTTCCTCTGCAGTTACTCTGATGAAAACAACAGAGTGGGACTCACAGCTGACTGCATTGTTCACCTGGCCACAGTGAACCATCACCTTCTGCTCTGCCACCGCTGACAGGTAAAATATGTTTTTGTTAAGATATAATTAGATCATGATTTCACTGTTATATTGTCGCATTACTTCATGTTTTAACTTGTGAAATTTAAAAACACATTGTGTTGTTTTATTTCATTAGATTACTTTAAAAGAAAGAAAAGCTGATGTGGTTCTGCTCTGGTGTCTGATCCGCACACTTTTGTAGCTTGAATGATACAAATGACTTACTGAATGGATTTAGAAAAGCGAAACACTCGGGCTTCAGCCTGAGACTGTTTGTAAGAATTGGATGTAGGCAACCACTTTGCAGGCTCAGGTTGACCCTTAGTGCAGCGGTAACACCACACTGACACTTTGGGGATCATTCAAGGATTAGTTATGGATCAGTAAATTTTTCAAATAAAACATATTTTTAGACTTCATGACACCAGCCAAAAAATGCATAATGAAGAAGAAAAAACATATAAGTTGCCCTCTAGTGGCTGTCAGTGTGAAAATAACAAATATATAAAAAATATACATTTTAATATGTAAGTCATACCTGAGTATAAGTCGCAAACTCAGGCAAAGATGAAAAAGTGTGACTTAGTCCAGAAAATATGGTCGCTTTTTCTGAAGAAAGAAAATGGAAATTACTGGATTTAAATTAAGTAAATAATTAGTTCTTTGACCCGGGGCCCAGTACCAAATGACCTACGGATTGGTACAGATTGGCTGTTGGGATTCCCTTCATCACTGTATATAAGCTGCTTGTTCTGTGTTAGTCATGTTTAACACAATCTTTTACTCTGCCATCCAGGCAGTACTGGTCTGAATTACTAACATGTATTGCAGTAATGCTCTCTCCAATGTACATGGTATTTACACTTAAACTTTTAACACTTAAACTTTTATACATGTAGTATAAATATAATTTATTTATGAATTTGGTTAATATTCTGACTTGTAGTTTATTAATTATGTAGGAACACATCCCATTCTGACCAGGCCCACGTCAAGGTTGGATCTTTATAAACTGCTTTTTTATATGAAATTTTTATCTTGGTATGAATGTGTGTGTTTTTGTACACCTTTCAGAAATTCAGAACAGCTGCAATGTGAGAGATTATTTTGTGTTGAACTGCGTCCATATTTCCTGCTGCTATATTAAACTGTGTTTTCTAGGATTATGGAAGAGAGAGAAGATGACCAACCTAAAAGTGTAGACTGTGACCTAATTGGATTAACACAATTTGATTACCCTTATTTAAAAAAGGAAATACATGCCAGCCTTATACTTATGTTGACTTCTTATCTATTGTTGCCATTACAGTTCATGTCATTTGTCCTACAGTGATAAAGTGATACCTGCACTGCTTTCCTGTAACCGAAGAAACAAAAAATCCACGGGGAAGTGACTAACCACTCTGAGAGGATTTTTACCTGTTTAATGGAATTGTCAGTGGAATTTTAGTCATTAGATTATTGTTACCCCCTGTCCCCCAACTTTATCTGTGTGTATTGCTCTTGTGTAATAGATCGTCATCCACTCCCACTGTCACTTTCCAGCTCAGGAAAAACAGTGACACCACAACTACTGAACACGTCACGCTTGCTCGTTGCATTCACCCCTCTCCATTGTTACCTTGGTTACCAGCTCTCACACTTTAAATTAAAAAAATAATAATTTCAGGAGTGGTAGTGTTTTATGTTGAACAAGTACTGGAAGTCTTTGGAATTAAAACTATCATGTTTGAGAAAGTAATTAATAAGTGAAGACGACAAGTAGAGCGTGTTGTTAAAACTGAAAGTCATAAGGAGAAAGCTGACTGTTTGTGTGAAAGCATATATATTTTAATCTGATTGGACAGTGAAAAAAATATTCTTACTCTTTTCACTTTCATGTTTGGGTATGAGTGTATGCATATCCCTGTATCTGTGTGTGTTTGTACCCCCAGAGGTGCATGTATATAATCTGTGTTCCAGAAATGTCTTTCTACCAGGCCTGAAGTTCTCTAACCATTTTACTCACACCATAAAATGTCAAAAACTGCATTTTTAGGACCGTCCTATAACTAGACAGTGATAAAAGATTTTTTGCACATAATTCTGAGTGTTTTTTACATAATTTCAAGTACAATTTGATTGATTACTTAACTACAGGAACAGAGGATATTAGTTATACCATTATTAATATCAATTGTCATTTCCTAAATGCTGCTTGTTGCCAGTAATTAACTTACCTTGATTTATTGCCTTCAGTATCTGACACTTCAGCAAATTAAATCAAAGGCTTATAATTATGTGCAAATAGCTTTTGACTCAGGTCTGGACTGTACTAACACATTCTGACTAATATTTAACAATACTAACGTCTGACTAACATTTCTTCTGAATGCTGACGGCTGGTCTGGTCCTCTCTAACCTACAAACTAACACTCAGATTCATGCACACACACATCACTCTCTCATGATCCTGAACACCTCAAGAAAAACATAAACCCTCCGTAAGCAGTGTTTCTAGAACTCAGTACCTGGGCCCCTTAGTGTCAGAAACTTAGTGTTTCCCCTGTATTTGACTACATCAGTATCAACAATCTAATACACAGCTCAAATTGGTTTTCTAAAAAAAAAAAAAGGATAACCCTGATACAGCTTTGTTTTTCTTATTGACATGTGTTTGAGCTTAACTCTAAACGTTGTATTTGTAATCCAGAATAACAGTTACTTATACTTCAGTTTAATCCCTGGTTCCTGCAGTGGAAACACAAGGGTTCCTGGTACTGATTCTAATGTGGTTAAAACATGCCTCATTTTATTAAAAGTCCAGTGCGTAACATGTCAGACAATTTAATTGTCAAATGTTTCCACATGTACTTATTGGTTTTGTAGCTGTTGACCAACCATTGAAAAATTCTTTCTGTGCAGCTATGGATTTATACCTTGTGCAGTTTCATTTACCTAAGTAATTCTCCATGTTTGTAGTTGTAACAACTGCACAGACTTATTTTCCACACTGGACCATTAAAGAAAAGATGTATTATTTAGGTTTTCAGGACATGGGAAGGTAAAGGTTATAACTGCAATGACAAAAGGAAAAGCAGAGACAGAACTGCTGATGACACTGGCCAAATGACTTCTGACAACATAATAATGACCTAACGAATTTCATTAAATTAAATCAGATCCAGTTAAAAATGTAATAACAGTGCACACCTGTCATTTTAAATCTAACATTCATCGAGCAGCTCTGTATCTGTGAAGTCTCCAGGTGAACACTCAATGTGCACAGAGGTGAGCACCTGCCTGGATGTCACCCTGCACCCTTCTTATGATCTTGATACTAACAATGCAAATGTCCCCATGTTGCTTGTACTAACATGTGTCTCTTTCTTTGTCTTTAATCAAAACCAGACCTTACAGAACCTTTGAAGTTCACTAATCCAGGTTGCATGTAAGCTTTTTTTTTTACCAAATTCACTCCAGCTTTATAGACGAGTGCCTTTTCACAGCGAGTCATATTTCTAAAAATATCTTAGCTCCAAAACATTGCTCTTAGCAGATTTGCTCTCATAACAATCTACTAACATGTCTTAAACCTAAACTAATATTTACTAACCCAAGGAGCTTTTATTGGCTCCCTCCAAACTAACAAACTAACCTACTAATACACTAATAATCTCACAAAAACAAATAGATCAGTAACTATTTAATGCCTGTTTTATCCTTAAACAGAATATTGACTGTACTAACATAATAATATGTAGAAATGTATGATACAATTGAATGATAATGAGATGGTGTGCTATTTGTGTGTGTTTGTGTGTGTATGTGTATCTCTAAGATGTTGTCATAAAAGACCAGCGAAGTATGTGTTTGTGATATTGTACAAGAAATTACATAAACATGACCTGTATATTTTATAATATAATTCCAGGCTGCACATGTCATATATTAATTAATGCCAGCCAGTGTTGATTACTAGAATATAAATATTAGTGTTCAGTGTCTTATTCAATGTTTATAAAGTAATATATGAATTGTCGATTTATTTTACACAACCAATTTAATTCTTTAATACAACTTGATTTTAAGTTGTCTTTACTAAATGACTGTAAAAAACTCAAATAAAGAATATTTTTCTAGCCAAATTGCAAACTTTTGTCATGATTTAGTAGTTTGACCATGTTATGATCATTCTAAATGCATATTGTGGCATACTTTTCAAATAAGAATGGTGACTAATAAATTCAACACCAAATGATTTCATTTTGTCACAGGAAAGATATTATCTGGGTTTGTTAAATGGGATGTAACTGTTACGTTTGCACAACTCACAGAACAGCATTGCTCTATTTTAGCAGTTGGTAATTCGGCCTAAAATAAATGCTATATTGCTATATCTTAAGGGCTCACACTTTTTCTTAAATCTAAATGTATTTTTTGATCTTGTGAAAATTTTGAGGGATTTAAATTCCTAAACCTCTCCTCCCATTTATTTTCAGAATATTGTATGTATGTGTGCTGTACGTGTATAATGTTTTTGTATTTTCGTTTTAAAATGTATATGTAGTTTTATCAATCTAAAGAAACACCTTTGGGTTAGTCGCTGCAGAACACGGTTAGGAGAAGAAGAAAAAGTCGCAGAGGAAAAACGTCAGCGGAAGTAAATAAACGTAACTGTCATGGCCGCTCGCTCTGTTGTTTGTAAGTGCGTTTAGCTCGTCATCCTGTGAAATTTGTTTTTCCATTTTTATTTTCAGCGTATGACGGCTAAGAAACAGCATTTCAAAGTAACTTTCCGAATTATCATCTACACTGTTGCAGCTGTTTAAAAATAGAAGAAGAGGCAGCTTTTCAATATGAGGACTGTTTTGATGGTGGCGGAGAAACCATCGCTCGCTCAGTCCATTGCCAAAATCCTTTCCAAAGGTGAGTGGAATGATTGTAGTGTTATGTTAGAAATATGTCAGACAAAATCGAGGTCATAACGGAATACGGGAGGACCTTTATCCATTAACCCTGTAGTTGAGTACAGAGTTTGCAGTATTTCGGAGCCTATCACAGTCACACTGACATCTGTACCCGCCAAAAGGCTGTTGTCATAGTATAGGTGAAATATTCAGTTTCAATTAATTTAATTCTGAACATATATAATTTCATTTTTTAGTTAAAATGCGATTTAATTTGCAATTCTATTTTAATCATTATACCAAAAATACAATGTAAATAAAAAATAGTTGCCACCATCACACACTTACTTGTAAAAATATTCCACAGACACAGTAATACCAGTTACTGTAAAACAGCTTTAATTACATATATATTGACTTGTGACATTATCTGATTACACTTATATAGATAATGGATTTTTGCACACTTTTTCTGATTGCCATTCACCTGTTGACACTCGAGCAGTTCATCTTATTCAACTGTGTCTGGAGATTGCACATATACAAGCAATGTTGATGAGCTCAAACTCCAGTGAGTAACTGGATGTTGGAAAGCAGTTGGGGTTTTTCCGAAGGACAGGCATCCTCAAGGACACAGGGATGGTCTCCAAACCAAAATTACTTTCAAGCCCCCGGCAGGAGTGAGTGGTATGGCAGCTGGCCTCGTGGATGACTTGAGGGACTCGGTTTAGGTCGATGTTTTCACTGTTGACAAGTCATCATGTGAAAAGTCATCATTTTAGAATAATGATTGGACATTACTCCTTTGTTTGTTCTTCTTTAATACTATTTTTCCCCATACAGTTTTCTCGGTGCATCTAGTCTCACTCTTTTTTTCCTGAATATAGGAAACATCTTTGCCAAATAATTATAGCACTGAATTATTTATAATTTATTTATTGCCTTATTTAGTCTAATTAAATGCTTACAGTACATGTCGTCTCACATCTCTGTTCTTGGAATTTGGAGTTCACAGTTAAAACCCTAAAACTAGGTCCTAAACCTCATTACACTGTGATTTAATTTCACTCACACGTAACTCCAGGTTGCGATGCTGCGCTCGTTGATGCGGTTGGGCAGGTTGACCAATTGGCTGTAGTAGTCCTGCAGGTTGTATGTGCAGAAGGACTCATCCACACACTGGCTGCTCAGTGGGGTGGATTCACACTGGTTGAGAATTAGGATGGAGAGCAGAAGTACGCGAAGCATCTGCAGAAAAACAGAAAAACCATCACTGTCAGAAGTAAGGACAGGTGTATGAGACCCAAGTCTGTGGAGCTCAGACACTGTGCAAAGCATTTCAGTGATTATCAGTGAGTGAGGACCTAAAGACAGATCTCTTACCTGAAAGTGGTTCATGTTTGGAGTTTGGTGCGATGTAGTTTCCCTGTTTGCTTTGATGATGTCTGAATAGGAGCAGATGTTTTCGGTGCTGTGTGTTATGTCTTCTTGTAGTTCTGCTGGTGTCGAAATGGGGCACAGACCTCAGGGACCTGCCTCCTTTTTATATAAAGGCTAGGGTTACCTTTATGTGTGTGTGTGTGTGTGTGTGTCTTCATTCATGCTTAAGTCACCATTGTGCCATCCATTTTCCGGTCATTAGCATTCAGCCCTGAGAGAATGACGATATTCAAATGTTAACATCAGCACTGAGTCAGTGTAACTGGTGGCAGGCTCCTCGGCCTCACTGCCCCCACATTTAGACACTGACCATAATTACACTGATGTTCTGCCTCAATGGACGCTTCACTGACTTTCTTCCATATCTGACTTTATAGTTAATTTTTCAGTCTTAAAGTTATTTGTGAAATAATTTGCTTTGTCTTGTTATATCACTTTAATTTCACGTTACGAAGGAAGCATTTCTGCTTGTGCTTTCCCAGGCACTTTCTCCAGGTTAGTTAGAGCAGTAGTTATGCTCATTGCATAGTTTTTTAAATGAAAATAATCATCTGTTTTTTTATTTGTATTTAGGGAATTGTACAAGTCGCAAGGGGCTCAATGGCGCCTGCTCCGTGCACGACTACACTGGCAGTTTCCAGGGTCAGACTGTCCGCTTCAAAATGACCTCTGTCTGTGGTCATGTGATGAGTCTGGATTTCATTGGTAGGTACCCTGTAAAAAGAAGATTCGAGAAGGTCTGGCTGTTTCACTCCTCCACTGCTATTGATATTTTATCACATGGTCATTAACAGCATTAGAGATACGTCACGTTTAAATAAAAACATTGGGTCAAACAGAAATTATTACCAATCCATGTCACAATCTGATCATATGTATTATTGTATTGTTTGCATTGTATTCTACAGGGAGTGCAGAATTATTAGGCAAGTTGTATTTTTGAGGATTAATTTTATTATTGAACAACAGCCATGTTCTTAATGCACCCAAAAGACTCATTAATATCAAAGCTGAATATTTTTGGGAGTTGTAGTGGGGCTTTTTTAGTTTTAGCTATTTTAGGAGGATATCTCTGTGTGTAGGTGACTATTACTGTGCATAATTATTAGGCAACTTAACAAAAAACAAATATATACCCATTTCAATTATTTATTTTCACCAGGGAAACCAATATAACAGCTCAACAGTCACAAATATACATTTCTGACATTCAAAAACAAATCAGTGACCAATATAGCCACCTTTCTTTGCAAGGACACTCAAAAGCCTGCCATCCATGGATTCTGTCAGTGTTTTAATCTGTTCACGATCAACATTGCGTGCAGCAGCAACCACAGCCTCCCAGACACTGTTCAGAGAGGTGTACTGTTTTCCCTCCTTGTAAATCGCACATTTGATGAGGGACCACAGGTTCTCTATGGGGTTCAGATCAGGTGAACAAGGAGGCCATGTCATTCGTTTTTCTTTTTTTAGGCCCTTTCTTGCCAGCCACGCTGTGGAGTACTTGGATGCGTGTGATGGAGCATTGTCCTGCATAAAAATCATGTTTTTCTTGAAGGATGCAGACTTCTTCCTGTACCACTGCTTGAAGAAGGTGTCTTCCAGAAACTGGCAGTAGGACTGGGAGTTGAGCTTGACTCCATCCTCAACCCAAAAAGGTCCCACAAGCTCATCTTTGATGATACCAGCCC